TCTATCTATCTATCTATCTATACACATACGTAAGAGAGAGAGAGAGAGAGAGAGAGAGCGAGAGAGAGAGAGAGAGATGCATGCAGGTGCACATGCACCCACACAAACCCTGCATGCACACTTGCTTGCTCGCTGCTTGTTGATCTGCTTGGAGAACAAAACACAGCGATATCGCAAACCTTCTGTTTCCTTGTAGCTTCTATGCTGCACATTAGGCTGGCACGGCGGCATGGGTACATGGCTGCACAACTACAGTACTTCGATGCGAACGATGCACTTGTATGCCGGTGCCATGCCATGCCACGTATGTCAGCTAAACCACCGCACTGAGTAGAAGCAGCGCAGTGGGTGGTGGCGACGGTGGTGGCGTCAGTTGTAGTGGTAGACCATTAGAATCAGCAGTTGCGGCTGCAGGCTATGTTTCCGAGGCGCTGCACATGATAAGACCGCTCAGAAGTTCCGACATCACACATCACACATTTAGTTCCAAAGCCACGACAGCAAAAATGATCGTGCCCCTGAAGCCTTCCACGACCCCAACTCTAAACCACTGCTTTTACACTGCAACTTTGTCTTTTGGCATTCCTTGAGGCCAGAGCTTTTGCATCACAACACAACCCAGCCGACTACGCCTATGCGAGTGCCAGCTGAGCCCCGAGCTGTCGGATAGTCGAACAGCAGGGCACCGGGGAGGCTGATTCCAGGGAACTCCTGGCCACGGTACCCCCCTTTTTCAGCACGTACCCCCGTAAACCCTGAACCCTAAACTGCTGGGGTTCATGCCGCGGTGTCAAGACAAGCATGCAGTGGGCCGGGCATTTCTAGTCCGCTCCGAGTAGCCCGTCTTGCATCCCCAGACCATCTATGAACCTTATTGTCGGGGCCTGACTAATTAGAATAGGGTTTTGGGCCTATGGCATAGTTATAATAAGGAACTCCCCAAAATAGTATAGGTAATTATTCAGGCCCCTATATTACCCTATCACCCTAAATTGCTGAATCCATCTCTGCCTTGAGCAGCTCATTTCGGAACTCGACCATGGACAGACTGTCCAGGCCTGTGGCGACGCTCGCATGCAAGGTCCATTGCTCTTGTGTTACAGCCGAAATACAAAACACTTACGTATTTAGCTCTGTTATAGTTATGATAGCTGCACATGTACTATATATAAAATATTCTAAGCAGTTGTTCTAATACTCTCGTTTCTATTTCGCCGCTTACACTCGGACAAGTCAGCCGAGGCTACTGGTGCTGAGTCGGTTGAGGTGAAACCTTGGTGTGAGTTTGGCTGGGTTTAGGGAATTAGGGTTTAAGGTTTCGGCGCTCACACTCGGACTTAAGTTTTTTTTTTGCACGACCCTTTTCCCCTCGCCGAGTGTTCACCAAGGTGAAAGCGGAGTTCGTTTAGGGAAGGGCATAAAGGCGGGACATCCGGACAAGGAGTCGTCTGACTTACGCTGCTGGACTTGCCAGACAAACTGGGTCCCATGTTTCATCTTGAGAATCTCCTGGTAGATTGTTGTATTATCTTATTATCCTACAATATGATCTGCCATATTTTATTTTATTGTGTCAGAAGATAGTAGTTACAGTATATTATGAGGGGTACTGTAGAGGGCTTCCCGTCTCGTCGGGAAGGCCTGCATCCATCAATGGCGTATCGGCAGCGATGGAGTCATCACCGATCAGGCTCGACCTTCCACCACAAGGAGGTCAGAATGGGTGTTTCAAGCAACCACCTAATGACCTAATCCTATTCCTGAGACATTCCTTACAATAACTATATACTAGACTTGTAACATCTGTGCTGCTATATTCTAGTATCCCAGAAACCTACTCAAATCATTAATAAATTCTGGATACCACAAGACTACTCTAATCACTAGGAACCCCTGGCAACTCTTCCCTCTCTCCCTGCCTGTCTGTCCGCTATAGGCCGAATATGGGCTAAGCTGAAACATCTACTGCACTCGCTACACATTGTTCCGGAAGATGTCAGCGTCGCAACCCGTCTATAACATCTGTATCATCTAGTAATATAGCCATACCTGTATCTGTATTGTAGCTACGAGTATGGCTATGGTACGACCGTCCTCATTCAAAAGATTAAAGATGCTCAAAACAAGCACAACCCACTACAGTAAAAGCCACCAGCCCAATTCCGTGAGTAGTTGTCCCTTGAATTCGCGTCCGCCTTGGTAGCCCGTAGCACGATTCAGATCGTTCGAAGCCCAGGCTCTTACACTCTTTCATAGAGGACTCTTGTCTTCTTCATGCACGAGAGACACACCTAGACTCGATTCTAGATCCATACAGTATCCAACTGAACCCATTGATGTGGGAAGCAGCATGCATCCATGTGCCAACAAGTTCACACCAATGTGTCTTCCAACACAACACGTCGCGTGAACATGCCCGTTGCAGTGACAGGAACATGCACTTGGCTCCTGAAGACTAGCAGACACCAAGCGCCAGCACAAGCACCACAGGAGCAGGGACCAAAGAAGAAAACAAAGGAGACAGAACTAAGGGCACCATGCCCTCAACCCTACACCCCCCAAAACTCCAAGAACGCACCCCTGACCAGGCAGTTTGGCACTTCATAGGCCTGAACAGTTCGAATGGATCTTGTATAAAAGCCCTATCTCTATATATATAGATATGTAAGAACTAGTATTATTAACATTAGGGCTTGTATTATTACCAGTGCCACCCTTCTGAGTCCCTTGTCACTCCGGGGCTCCAGGCGCGACATCTTGGATCTGAACCTTGACCATCTCCGGCTCCTGGGCTTCGGCAAAAGTAATAATCGGTTGTAGTCGTAGGGTTTAGGGTTTAGGGTTTAGGGTTTAGGGTTTAGGGTTTAGTCGTCGTCGTAGTGGGACTGGTAGTGATAGTGGCACCAGTAAGCAGTCAGCAGAAAGAAGTAGCAGTACTCGTAGTAGTAGTCGTCGTCGAGGTAGTAGTAGGCGTAGTCGCAGTTGTAGTATATTAGTAGTAGTAGTAGTAGTAGTAGTAGTAGTAGTACTAGTAGTAGTAGTAGTAGTCGTACTAGTAGTAGTAGTAGTAGTAGTAGTAGTCGCAGTAGTTGTCGTCGTAGTAGTAGTAGTAGTAGTAGTAGTAGTAGCAGTAGCAGTAGCAGTAGTAGTAGTAGTAGTAGTAGTAGTAGCAGTAGTAGTAGTAGCACTAGTAGTACTAGTAGTAGTGGTAGTAGTAGTAGCAGGAGGAGTAGGAGGAGTAGTAGGAGTAGCAGTAGTAGGCGCAGCAGTAGTAGGAGTAGCAGTAGGAGTAGCCGTCGTCGTCGTCGCAGTCGTCATCGTAGTAATGGTATGATTCGTCTTAGTAGTAGTCAGTAACAGTAAGAGTAAAATCAAAAGGATTCCCCCCGGCTTCGCAGCTGGGCTCTTTTTCGAGACCTGCGAGCAGCTTTTGAGAGGAGTCTTCTATGGATGTGTTGCTCGATTCACTTTGCTGCCTGTCTGCCTTCTTGTCTCCCTCTCGGAAAAGTAGGCTGAACAGCTCTCAACAGGGGTCTACTCAATGAACGTTGCACTACGTCCCATTTCTGGGACCTCTACACGCACCACCACTGAAGCAAAGGAGCGGGAAGTCGTTGCGTTGAAATTCAAAGGCACATGCAGATCAATGCAATGTATAT